CGGGGCTCCTGCCGATGGATGGAGGGGGCGGCAGGGGCTGGATCTGCAGCAGGGCTGGGGTCGAGCCACCGGGGCGGCTGAGGGGGAGAAATGGGAGGAACCGGAGGGGAGAGGGGAAGGGTCTGGCTCTCCCACGGGGGAGAGGATCCCCGGGAGCAGCATGGACCTGCAGTGGGAAAAAGGCTTGGGGGTCAGGGGAGAGAGAAAGAGAGAGAAAGGGGGGGGCCAGGCTAACACACACGTACACAGATTAATTCCAAACAGAAATCGAAACCAACTGAAACTGAACTCATAAAAAGAAGAATAAATGGCTTAAACTGAAACCAAAGAATCGTAATAAACCAAAGGAAATTAAAGAGATCCATGCAAACTTTCCCAGGCTTGCAAATTAACTGGCTGCTTCAGTGCCATCCCTCGTCCCCAGGAGGTGAACAGACAGCAGCGCAGCCCCTGCCTGCAGCCTGGGGCTCGGGTTCTGGGGTGCAAAGCGTAAGGACCAAACCCTGGCACCCTGGGGCACCCCAGGCAGGCAGCTCGCTTTCCCTCTCTGTGATCAACTCTATTCACGCCTCTCTTTTCTTTTTCGTTTTCTTTTTGGTTTTTTTTCTTTGCCTCTCATAGTGATCCCTATCTCTTTTTGCAATTTTTTGCTTCATGTTTTTCCCCCTGACAGCCGCGGGCTGGCGTGGGGGCGAGCAGGAGTGCGAGAGGGCAGCGGGGAAAGCCAGGGGCTACTTACACTTCACTTGCAGGATCTGGTCGCTGAGGTTGGCCTGGATGTAGTAGGTGCTGTAGGGAGGCAGAACCAGTCCCAGGCTGCAGAGGGGGAAAGCAGACAGGCAGTGTAAGGCTTTACACCCACCCAGAGCCCTTGGCCTGGTGCCCCCCGGCAGCACCCAGCCCCGGCTGATGGCAGGCAGCAGCCCTGCTGGCCTCCTGCACACCCCGCTGCGTCCTTCTCTCCAGGGGCTGCACCCAGCGCTGTCCTGGTGGCACCCAAGGTTCTCCCCAAAGCACCCAGGGCCACCCTTGGAGCATGCAGGGCCAGCCTGGTGGCACCCAGGGTCATCCCCAGCGCACCTACTGCCATCCTGGGGCATCCAGGTTGGTCCCCAGAGCACCCAGGGTCACCCTGGGTCACACTGGCCATCCTGGTAGCACCCAGGGTTGTCCCCAGAACACCCAGGGCCACCACTGGAGCACCTAGGGTCATCCTGGTGGCAGTCAGGGCCATCCCAGGGACACCCCTGAGCACAGGACGTGGCAAGCCTGTCCCACCAGGGCTGAGATGGGCAGGGCATGCCCACCTGGGAATGAAGGGAGATGCATGTGGAAGAGGGACACAACATCCCCGTGAGGGAGGAAGGCAAGAAGAGACACAGCCCTTGAAAGAAGAGACAAACCCTTTCCAGCAAGGAGAGACTGAAGACAACCATTACACAGGCACCAGCTATTGGTGAGCCAGGAAGGCAAAGGATCCACCAGCCAGGAGTCTGGCACACAGGGTGCAGGATGGGGATGGGAAAGGAGGTGGCTGGAGGTGGTGCAGGG